AGATTCATACAGTGTTGTGGTGTATAGATTGTAAAAATTGTATAGCATAGTATTAGACTAGTAACTGGTTTAACTGTAAGTGTATGTTTAATGTTTCAAGTTTTAAGTGAAGTATTGCATGTACTTATTTTAGTAGTTGAGTATCACAATAGGTAGAAACAATGTGACATATTTGTAGCTAAATACAGTATATAGTATTTGTTGTAAGTTTTGTTTTACTGCTAAATGTTTTAATGGGCAGATGCCTGTTCACATGTCATGAAGAATTAAAATGCATTTTTCCTAGATGAGCTTCTGATGATTAGAAATTTTTATATTCTTCAGTGTTGTAATACTGAAATTGAAATTGAAATTGAAATAAGTTAATTGAGGTAAAATGCACACAAAGGGATGAGGCAGCTCAAGCTATTCTCACCCCGTTCAGTACATCGTGTTAATACATACATAGATACACATCACAAGCAATAAACGTATTACCGAACATTCTGAGAGACAAACATATACATTTCCTCCTTTACACAAGTAATACTGTAATTAGTACCTGAATTTACCTGAGGGGCCACTCAGGTAATTAATTACTACCTGGTAATTAGTGTTACCAGGTGGTTAACACTAATTAGATAGTGTTAACATGTAAGCCATCAAAGATTTTTTTATAAGCCACTTTTGATAGCTCTGTACTTACATATGTTCCTGTAAGGGATAAAAGGTTTTTGTCCTTAAGGTATTATTTTAAGAACTATAAACGTCCTGAAATACTAAAGTTCACTAATTTGTCATAAGTCTGCCACTTATAAGCCATAACTACCAAAACTCTGCTGAACTTTAAAATCCAGCTTGAAAAAATCATTAGAACAAAGGGGGATCTTTGACAAGCTGCCAGCTTCCTGTGCTCGTCGAGGCCACTAGAGTGGTAGTGACCCCATAGGTAACTTCAGGTAAATTTTTAATCTCCTTTAGGCTTCGGCTAAGAAAGTCCTTTGTCACATGGCATGGGCACCAGTAATACACCGTAACCTTCCAAGAAGTCAATGCCATAAAGTGACGTGTGTGAATACAAGGAAAAATTAATGCTTATTAAAAATATAGATTTATTACTTACCTAAAAATATTGGATATAAGACCTTCATGGCAAGCCAAGAACAGGAATCACAGAGCAGATCTCCTCCAGGGGACAAACTAAAAATTGAGTGATTTCAATGTCCATAAAGGGTTTACAATATAATTAATCACCCCTTGAATAATTATAAAAACTATAGGCCATTAACATGAAATAACCACCACACAATGGTTACCTGTTACCCTGTCCAATAAAGTGTATTGTTAACCATGATACTAAACTAACACAACTACAACACAGATATTTGTATACAAATTAAAACTGCCAAAACACAGGAATACAGTGATATAATATATTTCTCCTAATAACTAGGACAGAGGACACATAGGAACATGAAAAATAAATATGCTTATACCATCTCCTTTGATCAGTATTGGAGGTCCAGGCTAGTTATCTTGGTTTTATATAAAGAATAACAATAACTGTATTTAACTAATGACTTAATTCATTATGTCGGGGACAGATAGCCATAGTGTATTCATACATGTTAGGCTTTTATCAAGATCCCCCCTGTCCAGGATGCAACCCCTAAAACAAACTGACTGACTCCTGAGTACCTACTTACTGCTATATAAACAGAAGCATTAGGCAAAAGAGATTGTACCCAACCATTTCCGTCCAGCCCAGAATTCTCAATTTTGCGTCGAGAATGAACCCGACTGTACTACCGGGACCTTTATTTGTGAAGCACCAACTAGATTATTTTACTGGTACGGTATACAAAAGAGCATGTGCTTCAACAGTGACCTTGTCTGACACTCAAGAGATTATCTGATACCTCCTCCAACACTCCTTCATGCACTACTGGAATTATAATGAGGAGGACTCATGCTCGTATGTTGTGTCCCACAACATTTCAATATTCCCTACTGGCTTTCAACATTTACACTTACTCTTTCTCGAATGTCTGAGGTATGTGATTTGCAACTGCAAATTACTCTTTTTTAATAACTACATTCTTTTTCCAGCACTGGATGTTTGTTTTCAGCAATCTTCCAGAATCAGAGGTTTATAACACTGCACAGTATTTAGAAATTGGTGCATATACTGTGCATATTTAAAACTTCAAATACTGTTCATGTGACAATCAGGGGTGTTCTCACCATATATGATCACACACTGCACAAGACAATGAGAGATGTTTTAAAGTGCCACATAAGATTTAAAACTCCAACAGGTACACAGGGCTCATTTCTGCTTCCTCGAAAACTGGGGATAAAACAAAGCTGCCTTTGTTCCAATAATCCTGTATGATGTGCTTTTCTGAATGTTTCATCATCATACAAAGGGCAAGAAAAGCTTACATTTCTGCCACAGTTGTATCTTTACAGTGCATCAAGCATAAGGTGACATACCGCTCTTTTTCAATGAGTTTTGCCTCGTATCTGTTTGTTTTCTAACAAAATGTGTCCCAAACGGCTCAACAAAATATGCCGTAAAATAGTCCATGTCACACATATCTTCACCAGTATAAAGGAAAGTGTCAGTAACACCTCCAGCTGTATTATCATATGTGGTAGCAATATGTAGAACAAAATTGCTATCATCATCCCACAGGAGCACACTGTGCTGCTGGAGGCATCGCCTCCAGCACCACCATGACGGGCATGGATACTACCTCCAACAAAGCTACATTGACTTAGAGATGAAGCTCTTCTAATCTGCACAGGACAGGCATGTATAGTTGAAGTAGAGGCCAATCTTCCATCATTTTCTCCATGTGATATTGTATGGTGTCATTTAGCAGGGTGTGGTGCTGAGTCGGCACTCTTCCAAGTAACACCATGAAACCTGCTACCACTAGCCACAGGATAGCCACTAGTATTAAATTTCTGGTTACTAAATCCAGAAAATTAGTCATCTTCACTGTTCATGGAGAAGAGGAACAGCAGGTAGCACAGCTGCTGCATTGGAATGCTGTGGTCGAGGTGGAGTAGACCGGGGATGCAGAGGCGGAGTAGGCCTAGGCTTGGATACACTCACTGGGTTATCAATGTCAGTCTGTCTCAATTCCAAATGATTTTTGCATATATCATTATCAAGACGATGTAGAGTGGAGTAGACCGGGAGCACAGTGGAGGTGGAGTAGGCCTTGCCTTTGTGACGCTCACTAGTTTATCATTTTCACTCTCGGAATCAATGATATCTGATTTTTGTGTATAGTCCTTATCACCGTACACAAACATATATACACATCATCTGATAGTGATGAGGATAATCCTCATCTCATCACTATCAGGATCATCAATTTCATGTTTCATAAATTTCTTGTCTATTTCCTCCAATGTGAGTGATGGCATCGAGTGAGCCACATGACACTCCATGAGCAAGTCCCATGTGTGCCACTCATGGTTGTTGTACAGTATACAAACTGAGGCCAACCCGCTCACGTGCAGGAGTCTGCAATTATTTTTTTCAATATGGAAGCTGTTTACTGGAGGCCTGAGTCATCAAATAAGTGTCCCGTTTACTGCGCACAAGTTTCATATCTTACGCTACATATTAAAACATCACTGGTTGTGATGCACACCATGGACGAAACAACCCTGGTTGTGATGCGCAGTTGAAAGGTTAAAATAAAACAAAATGTAAATTACCTTAGGGATCTAAGAAGAAAATTTGTTTTAAATTGTTTCTACAAAATTGCCAGAAGCCTAGTAAATAAATTTGACACATTGGATGTGTATACTGAGGCTGAAAATCCCAACATCATTGGCATCAGTGAAACATGGGGAACGAGAGGACATAATAGAGAGGAGAATTCATCTCCCAGGATACCATCCACCATTCAGAAAGAACAGAACAACAAGACCAGGTGGGGTAATAACCTATGTAAAAGAGGACATGGATGCAACCACCAGTGAAGAACTGAACACCATGGATCCTCTGAGAAAATAAAATTAATTAATAGCATGAAGGACACCTAGTTTTAGTACATATAGTATACCTGCTTTAGTGAGACCACAGCCTTCCATGAGTGAACACTGAAAATGGGTCGGGTACGGTCGACGGATGGCATTAGTATCGTCACACCCTACCACACTGATCCAACAAGAATCCTGCAGGTCAAACAAGTGGCAAAGAAGTTTTCAACCACATCACAGAGGGAGGTGCAAACAGCTTACACAAGGTTTCAGCCATTGCAACATCAGAAGGCCTTGAAATTCAATCCTTATGTTAGAATACCATAGAAGAATTGGTTATTGAAATTGTTCCAGCAAATGGAACTGTCACAATTCCTTTGACGATTCAATTTTAAAACACTTGTAGACACTAGTGCAGATGATTTTACCATTCATTCAAGAACAATGACTCAAACTGGACTTGTCTGTAAGGATTATCTTCCAGTAGTTCATGAAATAATGTGGATGAAAGATGTTTAGTTAGAAAAATTGAAATAAACTTTCAAGTTTTAAAATTAACTTACCTAAATTTTGTATATATTATGTTCAACATACAGTACTTCCAGAGCTAACAGACTGGTAAATTATGTTCAGAATACCAAAACCAACTGACTTGTAATCAATGTTGGTTGCTGTATGTGCATGAGGAGTTTGAACATAAGAATGCAAGTGACTAAAGAATTACTTTTCACAGTTCATCTTGAGGAGCATGCCTTCTCTAGGCCTACACACACACACACACACACACACACACACACACACACACACACATTTGTTGTAAAGTGTATAGCTTTGAGAGCTACATGTCACTGATGTTTTAAATAACAGACATGCTATGGTATATGACACTTGTCATATTGTATAGCATTACAGCATTTCTGTGATTTTGAAATTAAAATGCTGAACTTTTTAAATAGAGAAACACATTTTTACTTTGAAGCCCATTTTCCATAATTTATACATATTTTTGTCTACAGCACACCTGAGACACTGGCAAATCGTGATCGATGTCAAGTTGGTCAAATTTCTCTCTATGATGGCCCACTTGGTCAGTTTGGTGAAGGTGGCAAGTATGGTGACCTCTTCTGTGCAGCACTGCGGAACTATGGCATGCTATGTATTGGTCTCTACAGGTGAGTAAGCACACCACCACCCCACCTGCACCTCACCGACTTTGTATTCACAGCTAATCCATGTATGTACAAAGGCTGACAATGTCAGTCATTTGCTACTTCACTTATGTGTAAGGAGTGACAGGGACCAAAGCTTATACCAGTATATTGTGTGTCAATTGGACTCATTTATCTTTATTTTTAACAAAGTTAAATGAACCTAAAGACAATGATATAAGGTTTAAGTCATGATCATGTTACTCCTACCTTTCAACACAGAGTATTTCTCCTTCCTCCCTCCTCCTTGTATTTATATATTAGCTTTAATGCACTTCTTCACCCTTCTATTGTATTCAATATTGATTAAGAGCGGACCTCTAAATAAGAGAGCCTTTGCATCATCAAAATATGGTTTGTTAAAAATGAGCTATTGTAATGTATCACAACAGTGTGTATGCACCTGGCTTGTTAAAATCCTATCATAATTTATTCAAGCCTGCATAAGTAGGCTTTGTAAAGTATGTAAACCTGCTTTTAAACACACGGCTTATGAGACGTTTCTGCACTTTCTGTACAGTAGCATGGCCAATGGGCAAGCTTGTAAATTGTTTGCGAGGAGCAGGAGGAACTCTTGTTTAATGAAATATCATTTTCGTTATGCTCGTGAGATATGAAATTGATTTACAGAACACTCCGTATGGTTCCTCAATCTGCCGTTGGTTTGGACTGCAGATTCCGCGACACATCAAGCTCGTGTGACGCGTCGTCCAAGCGGTATGTGATAACCAACCCACCGGATGACTTCACGCTGCTGCCCACTGACCAGGTGTTCGTCCTCATGCAGTTTGACCCTGGCCTAGAGTACAAGCCTAACCGGGGAGACATGACTAAAGAAGATAACTCCTGACTCCTCCTCTGTAGCGCCCTCACTGACGGACCCTACTCCTACATCTAAAAAAATAAAGAGTCCAGCGCTGCACCAACATCACACCAACACCACAACACACCACCCGCTCATCAGCTGCTGCTGCCGACCACCCACCACTCTTGAAGTGCAACAGTGTGCGGCAGCTGCCCCGTGCTGTGCCTCAGCCGTCCTCCCCACTACAGTTACCCCACCTGATCTTCTTTCTCAGTATAGAACCATACCCTTTGTAGCAATTCCCATCTCCCATAGTGGGTTTTTGGTCTGTTGTGTTCCGGATGGTCCCAGCACAAGGAGAGGTGTTGTGCACCTCACTACACAAGCAGGTGGCCCATGTGTGCTTCATCATTCTCAGTTCATATGTGTTCAGACTGTTTTGCGTATGCTCATTTCAGTTAAAGGAATGAAATAACAAATTTCATTTTGTGATCATCATCTTTGAATTGTATATATTGATGCTTGAATGAGTATTCTTTGTGTGTTAAACTCTGCTTTTGTGTGGGATCGCGAACTTTCGACATAGGGAAATTCACAAGTGTAATAGGATGTTCCAACTATGCAAGTTGCTACCTTGACTCACTCACTAGTGTCCCAGGTGGTTTGAGTGTAGCTCCATTGTCAACCCTGAGTTTAGTTGCCCGTTGTAAGTCAGCCTGCACATGCCCGGCTCACAGACACATTGGCCAATGCAGCCGTACAAGTCACACTTGCAGCAAGTGATCATATATTCAGGGTCCTTCAAACTTTCTTGGACTCATGTCATAGACCAGCCTAAATTTCAGCAATATTTCAGTGGTGTCCAAACTGTTCTTACTGAAAATTGACACTGAATACTTGGTCTTTTGACATGATGTGCCCAGGTCTGTTTGAGAGTGAGGATGCTACAATAGAAAGTTAAATATTAAGCAGATATTTTTAATGATGTATTTTCAGTCATCTGTGCATAACTTTTCAATAGCAAAATGTGTTAAATTTTGTAACTATTCTTTTTTATTCCTCTTCCTGTAATTTTTTATGTTCTTATAAAGTATAGTTTCTATATTGGTATATATAATTTTAGGGTATTGTTTCCTCATCTAATCATTCATATTTTCATTTAAGAAAAGTATCAAAATTGTGGCACAGAAGACATCCACATTTTCACAAGCACCATATAGCCAGGGATAGTTGTTCAGTAAGATGTAGGCCCAGAAATGTATTTACATGCGATTTGTTTAGAGAAGAGTTTGAACAAAATGTTAAGTGTTATAGTTTTTTACTTAGTTGTGTAACATTAACAAAGTTTACTAAATGATACATCAGTGTGAATAAAGTTCTTAGTCTTGCAAGTTAAAGTTGTCAAAAGTTGTAAAGAAACTGCATTTAACAAATCAAAATTGTTATTGGCACCATGTCCGTTGAGTGCCAAGGTGCTGGGTTATACAGTCCCAGTGTAGTCACATGTGGCCAGCACCATCACCTCCAGCAAGGCAGCATCAGTGGGGATCTGGAAGCCTCACAGGTTATGCATGCTGCAACTTTTGCCAGCAAATCTCATTTTGGGATTTGTGAGCAAGGTCATCCTAATATAAAATTATGAATGGTCTTGGGTGGTCATCTTCACAGTATCCCGTGGGTACAAATTATACCATGTTATCTTGAACCCTGGATATGTTCACATTTCAATACCCACCGTCTCTCAGGGGCCTGGTCCACTATGGCTCACTAGTGCATGGCCACTCAAGATCTCTTGTGGTGACTATGTCCATTAGTTGCCCACCTTAGCTGGAGGTTGGAAGGTATTATCCAATTTTGCTGAGCCACATTGACCCCTGTGATCATATCCTAGTTTGTATGGTATGCCATTCCACATTTCTGATGTTTACAATATCCTGTTTTGATCCACAGTGTGCAAAGATATAATCCTTGTTCCTACATACAGTAACCTTGGGAACTTGGCCCATTATGGCCCTTATTATCAGTGATGAATATCACTGAGTAATGCTTGAGTGTTATTATTCACCAGAGTGTTGTTCATATCTACTCATGCATATTTTCTTGAGTCCTAATAAGATGTGCTGCACTGAATTATCTATGAACATTGACAGCTGCTCAGCTAAGGTGTGGAAGCTATACCTCCATAACTTGCTGTTGGGGGAGTGAATAGTGCGTGAGCTAACCCCCAAGGACTCACCAAGCGCAGCTCTCTGGTTGCGACTGTGTTGTCATTGCCTTACAAATGCCAAGAGCTTAAGTTTTCATCTCTATTCAATCATGGCTTTTCTTCTCCTAATGTCACAGACCAGTAGATGGTGCAGGGTATGTCAGCTAACTGGCTGAAAGGTGGAAAGACATGATCAGAAGTGATACTTTATCGTTTGTTTCCCTACAGTGTTCTAAAGAATATTTAAAGTTAATATTTTATAAGAATAAAAGTGCAGTTTTACAAGGCATTGGAATAAAAATGAGTGGAGCACATGCTTTGAAAATTTGTTGAATAACCTAACAAACATTACTAGGTGACCATACTGCCCAGGTTGCCCCCCAAAAAACTGCCAAGAATGCCAGCCAACTGACTGCACCGTGCCCTAGATAACTGCCTGTCCCACACTTGCCAGGCTATATGGGGGCGGAGTCAGGAGGTGATGGAGAAGTGGTTCTTTTAAAAGTGGGCATTTGTTTAACACTACAATCTTGACTTGTTGACTTGTCTTAAATCTGAAAGATACACCATGAACACTTTCATGTGAATCCCTTTCTTGACAAAACCCTGACTCCATCCCTCTCTCAGACTACCAGTGGTCATGCAGTAAAAATGCCTAGATTGAACTATGCTGGAAAAAAATCCCATTAGATACATAATAAAATGTGATATGTAATATAGATCCAGGTGTCATGTACTGCATGATAATCGTGCTTCTTTTTGGAAATGTCTAAGGAACCACTGTATACTATATATCCTTCTTCATATTATTGAAAGAAATTTTTTGTATATTTTGTGTCCACTTGTGTTTCCCCGCCTTCTGCTCTGGCCTCATACATGCATATTAGTGACCATATGACCTATTTTGTAACAATCTTTATAATCTCATTGTTCTATAAATAAAACAAGGAAAATGAGCCTTAATGTACTCCAGACAATAGAAGAAAATAGGTCATCTGTTTACATCGGGTTTTTTGTCACGAAGGGGACGTATTTGAAATTATGCACCGTTGGATATCTATGTACCATAATGACTCTGATGGGACAGTGATCATGAGCTGTAGTTACCTACATTGTTAGGGTCATCTTTATTATCAGGTTTGACAAAAAGTGATATAGATGGTGTTTATAGCTCATGATTGCCAATCTTATCAATTTTCATACTTCTTTGTTCTGAATCAGAGTCGTAATTCGACTGGTGTCTCTTACCATGGCCTCTGATCTGTTTAAAGTTCAGATCTGCTAACCTGAGTGCTCTGTGTTGAGCTCCATTGTCTTAATGGACTCTGCTCTGCAAACCTGCCTTACTAAGTCTCATTTTGTTGCAGAAGCAATAAGGCAAAAAAAAAAGTTAAAGTTTTCAGGATTGCTTATTATGCAAACTGGCCATAGTGATTATGCAGGAAACTAAATGCAACATAAATTTCAGATTAATTATCTGTATTTGTGATAAATGTTACAATGCAGGGGAACTGCTTTTGGGGTTTAGGATGCAAATCCAAATACAGGTGTGCTAATCCTTTTCTAGAGGAATTATAACTAGGAATCTCAAGGCTTCATAAAACTGTATATAATAAAATTTATTAGAAACAAAATCAATGATCAAAATCAGAGTAGTACTTGAAATCAGTGGGTTTAGTGGGGGTAGTTTTTGTAAGAGAGATTTACAACCCAGACCTGAGAGATGGTTCCCCTAGTTACTTACCATCCAGTGACATGGGCCAAACGTTCTCACTGACTTATGACACACAGTAAATACTCTAGTACTGGAATGGATTGGTTGTTTCATTAATGAGAAATGCCAATTGGATAATCAGATACCTGGTGTGTTTTGATAGTCATATGATGTTAAGATGTTTAGCCTTATTGTGGGTGTGCCCATTTCCGTAGGCCACCACATTTGACTCTTGGAGTGGACAAGGCTAAAATTGTCAGCATAATATCAAAATGCATTTAATAAAGAATAGATTAGGCCAATACAACACATGTTGAAATTGGTGTAATGATATTTTTAATGTCTGCATTTTTGTATTTTTGGAGACCATTATTTGCCAGTTTTAGCCTGGCCCATGATTACTGTTGCTTGCCAACATCTGGTGTCCTGAAACCAAACCTACAAACCCATTACCTCATCCATCAATAATTACATATTTGATCATAAGCTTATAATTTTTGTTAAACAATTTACAGATTTGCAACAAATCACAATGATATTTAGTGCACACTAGAGAGACCCGCCATAAGATAACACTCACGTACACTCGTTCTGTTTATTTTATACGTCTAATTATGTTAAGCCTGATATAGCTTATATTACAATGAGTTATAGTACTATACTATTATTTTCCTGCATTGTTGTAACCTATAAAAACTGAATACAAATTTTAATAATATAAACATAACTCAAAGTATGCTACTTAAAAGTGTCTTTGGTGAATGAAGTTCTTGCTATTGTGTTATTATAGGATTTATATTGTTAAGATTCTTATTACAAAATATGCATTATTGAAATAAGATTTTCATGCAAGCTCACTCAAAATTTAAATACTGCTTTGTTATAGTAAATATATAAATAAATTACTTAGTATTTACTGTACTTGTAATAGGGAATATTCACACTGCAATGTCAGGGGATTAATTTCAAACCATAAAGAAAACTAACTTGGCATTTAATTATTGGTCTACAACAAAGTGTAGTTACAGTTAAAAAAAAAATCGGTAGGAAAATATATTCAAAGTACCAGTATAACAAATATATGTGGGTCTTGTCTGGTGATGGATGGGACTTCAGATTTGGAAAATGTTGTGTTAATGTTTGTTTAATGTAAGGATTACACTACTGGTTCAGAACTGTTTTTATTTGAATATTTGAACAGCAATAGAATAAATGCACCTCTGTTGTTCTGGCTTTCACAATTACCTTAATGTACTTTTGTACAGTACAGTGCTTACAATAGACCTTCTGGTACTGCATAATGAGAAATTTAACTCCAAAATAACGTTAGAAACTTTCAAGTACAGTATTGGTATATATCAGAGTATACTGTGAGGATACTAGTAAAAAATTAGACATACATTTCAAATCAGTTAAGTCTAATATTAGCTACAACAACGAATATAGAATAATGCTGCAAAGACTTTACAATGGCTCACAGCAATGAAAATTTATGCTCCAAAATTATTATGGGAGATTTAATTGCTAAAATAAAATAAGTGCACTATTTTTTTTAGTAGTTTGCCGAATTTGATTGAAATTGAAATTGAGTCTATAAAGTTTGCAAAACAAAATTTGGCCACAGTATGAATTAAACAGAATTACCTGGTAAGTTGAAAATGGATTTGGGAAAGTGGCAATGGAAATAGATATCTAATTGACTTTATTCTCTCCAAACAATTCAGGATACAGTATATTGTAAGGGAACTACTGTACTTTACATTTAAATTTTATTATTTTATAGGAAGAACTACTTTAAATTTAAAGTGCACTAAATCAAGTACAAAGAGGAAATTTAAATGAACTACACACAGCTACCCTGTATTTGGATATGAGCATTTCACCCAAACTAGTCATGCATCATATGTATTTAAAACACTTGGAAGACACAAAACTGACATGGAATTAGTTATTGCTTATGATTACACAAATCTCTGTGGTGAGGAGAGAATTTGATGGAAACTCCTTACAAGAATGAGGTGGGTGCTTCACAGTGCAGTCACACACACACAACTTGGTTGCAGATGATAATAGGTTACTAGGGAAGATAAACTTTGACGAGTGTCATGCTCTTCAAGATGACCGGGACAAAAATAACTGCATGGAGCAACATTTGGCAAATTGAATTCAGTGTGCATAAATGTTACATTGTGGAATGTGTAATAAGAAAAAAAAAAAGGCCACTCACACACTACAAATTATGTGCAGACACATTAAAGAACTTTAACAAAGAAAAAGATGTAATAGTGCTTCTTAATAGTAGACCGTCACCAAAGGATCATATACAAGACATTGTGTGAGGAGCATATGCAATGTTTTCCAATTTCAAAACTGCTTTTAAGTACTGTATGTGGACGGTAGAATATTAAAGAAATTGTTCACGATCTCCGTGAAAACAAAGTTGAAATATGCACCAGTTGTATGGTGCCCATATCTCAAGATGCACATCAATAAACTGGAAAAGGTGCAAAGACATACAAACAAATTTACCTGAGGGCCACTAACACTATTGGCCTCAACATGGGCAGGAAGCCGGCGACTTGTCAAAGGTCCCCCATTTGCCTTGATCTTTTCCATTTGGATTTAAATGGCTTGCAGAACTGGAAACAAAAAAATATAAGGAGAGATTATAATCATTAAATATGCCAAGATAGAAGATAATGAGGTGGTATGATCACTGTACAAAATAGTAACAGGTACAGTATTGACAAAATTGACAGAACAATTTTTGAAAACTGCAATTTGAAGAACAAGAGGACATATAGGTTCAAACTAAGTTAAAAAAGCTGGCAAAAACATTGGAAAAGTTCACTTTCTCAGAGTGGTGGATGGTTGGAACAAGGTAAGTGAAAAGGTGGTGGAGGCCAAAACTGTCAACAGTTTCAAGCTGTTGTATGACAAAGAGTACTGGGAAGACGGGACACCACAAGCGTACCTCTCCTCCTAAATCTACACTTAGGTAATTATGGTGCAGTGTTCGTGAGTGTATGCAGTAGTTCTGTGCGTTGAGTAAAACAAAACACCATAGGCGATACAAGATTTTATTAATTTTAAGTATTAATAATAATATATTTGCAACTGCAAGTTGCATGGCATTGTTGCAACTGCAGTTGCTTGCTGCAACCATCCTGCATGTGCAGGGATGTATGTTAAGTGACCTTAATAACTAGACTTGTGTACATATTCTACGTAAGTAGGGGCACATGCACCTGAACATAGTACTTTAGTACATAAATAAAGTATACAAGGTAAGAGAATTCATCCTAAAATTATAAATGGTGCAGTTTGCAATAATAACGAAGGCTGCATATCGCCATTAATCCTAAATAATTCATTAGTAATTATCCACTTACATATGTGTTTAACATTAAATGTGTAAATGATGAGACAAGCTACATGCATATAGAGCTACATACCAAGCCCAGTAGGTTCCGGAATCTGTACATTAGTTGATTGACAGTTGAGAGGTGGGCCAGAGCTCAACCCCTGCAAGCACAATTAGGTGAGTACAGAAACAATGAAGGAGTATGCATCATGAAAGTGTATACATGCATACAAAGATTCAGATTAAAATTTATTCATCTATTTATTTACTTGTATACAAGAAGGTACATTGGGTTTATGAGAGTACATATAGCTTTAAATGTTTTTACATTCTTAAAAAGCCACTATAGTACGCATAGCATTTCGGGCAAGTACTTAATCTAACAGATAATTGTAAGTAGGTAATTTCTAGCAACTCTGAAAAAAATTACAGGTACAGAGTAAGAAAATTTTACAAAGATTAGTAGGTACATTAATGTAAAATTTGAGGGTTATCAACAGGTACATTGTAGCAGCATAATTTAAGGATTATTTAAAGGTATAATGCAGTACAATATGCATTCAATATAACAACCATGATATAAGGTGATTACAATAGTAAAGTTGTATGGCTTAGGTACTGTACATATATTGGGGGAGAGAAGTCTCCCGCCAAAAAAAAAAAAAATGCCGTAGAAAGCAAAGGGGCCTGACAGCTGAGTGGACAGCGCTTCAGGTTCGTAGTCCTGAGGTCTCGGGTTCGATCCCCGGTGGAGGCGGAAACAAATGGGCAGTTTTTTCACCCTGATGCCCCTGTTACCTAGCAGTAAACAGGTGCCAGGGAATTAGACAGTTGCTAATTAGACATCCTCCAGGCTGTTTCCTGGAGGATGTTTAACAAAAAGGAGGCCTGGTCGAGGACCGGGAAGCGGGGACGGTAAGGCCCAAAATCATCTTAAGATATCCTCAAGATAGTATGAGTTGAACATAATGTTTAAATTCAAATTAAAAAAAATCAAATGTTTATTCAGGTAAAGTATATACATACAAGAGGCTGTACAAAAATTTATAGATTTATAGATAGAGCTAGTACATACAATGCCTAAAGCCATTATTACGCAAAGCGTTTGTTTCGGGCAGGAAAGTTGTGATGGGAGGGGTCCGGGTGGGTCCATTGCTCACCCATGTGCACTATGAAGGACGACACCATGAAGGAGGGAGGGTTTTTGACAAGGTGGGCATGATTTGCGAGGGAGTGTGGAGGGGCGACCAGCCCCCCTGGCTTTAAATACCGGGCCTACAGCTTGTGGCCGCCGCTTTACAAGGAAGACAAATTAAGGCCTATACGCCCTGCGCACCGTTTCCACCCTTCATCCGAAAAACTCGAGATACGCTCTTTAGACGCATCACAGCCATTTACAGAGCTCAATGTATCTCATACCATTTGATGTGAAATCATTGATAACAGGACACTCACCAAATATATTTGTTGGAGGCTGTGTCTTCTTAACTTGTTGCTGTATAGCTGAAATGATGTGATATTCGAATTCTCTGTCGAATCTGGCCTTAAAGTTTGGATGGAGGCAATGCATATAATAATAATAATAATTTTATTTACAAGAAGGTATAATGGATTTGAGATTACATAAGATTGGTATTTTTACATTCCTGCAAAGCCACTAACACGCATAATACAAGACGATGCAATAGGCTGTTATAGGAGTGTACATATGCTGATCGGTAAATAGTACATTCTTGCAAAGCCACTAGCACGCATATCGTTTCGGGCAGGTTCTTAAGCTAACAAATACATCATTTTAGTAACGTTGTGAACGCTCGAGACATACCGTCATCCGGACTGAACCAATAGCGTGCTGCCTGGTACCATCCACCAATCAGCGCTCACCTGAGGCGTGCAAGAGCCAATAGGAAATAAGGCTCCGAGCCAGCATATGAACCACTTATAAACACACACAGTACTTCGATATTTGATCACTTTTAGGCCAGTTCTCATCAATTATATAAGATTTGTTGCAGACAAGGACGTTAGAGGATCATACGATTAAATCGGAATCGTGAAATTGGAGACGCTGCTGCAGGTTTTGCAGGTGCCCGAAACGCTATGCGTGATAGTGGCTTTACAAGAATGTAAAATCAACTTAATTTCTATGTTCTCTGTTAACCCCCAATGTACCTTCTTGTATAAATAAATAAATAAATAAATAAATAAATTGTGGCGGCGACGTGTCCATCAGGGTCTCCTGTGAACAACCCTCAACACAAGTGTGGACTCGCATCTTTTATAAAGAGATGCGATCAGCCCCTCAACGGCTGAAGAAGGACTCCTGGTTCAACTTTGACGACGAGCGGACGTCTGGACACCTCCTCCGCCTGGGAAGCCACCTTATCACGTTCTGTTTTCGCGTTTTGGCTTTGCTACTGCCGTTTGGCATCCCTATTCAACGGTTCGGTTGTATGACGCCTGGCGCACATATCGTCTTGGGTCACGGGATTGTTGATAGTTTTTTTGACGTGTACTGGCTGGTTCTCCCGGCGGGGTGACGGTGTCCGGGGGCCGACTTGGCCGAGAGTGGCGGGTCTTGGTGGGCTCCTGGTGTGCCCTCAGACGTGGTGGGCGGCTGGCTACTGCTCTGCCGGGGAAAACTGGATGACTTTTGCGTTTTAGTTGGGGGCCGAGTTTTTGGTTTTGCTACCCAGTGTTTACTGTGTGGGGCGGGGCCGGTGCTTGTCACTCTGAGGGACTCCGGGGGCTTCCCAATCATCTGCCCGTCTGCGTTTCTTTGCCGCGAGGCATATTAGTTTCCAGTGATTGGCGTCACTTGTTTCGCGATTTGGCTTGGCGTTTCACCTTTCAGGGCTTCG